TGTGCCATATTGTGATTGTACCTAAACATCTTAATGTATACAGCAAATAAATTTGTTCTGAGAAGTTAGAAATCCAAACTCCTGCATATCCTCACATGTACATTTCAGGCTTAAAATCAACAATGCATTTTTAAAGCACATGTATGTTGCACACTGCAGTCTCAAAACTGAAAAGCATTATATTGTACCATATAATCAACAACGTCTAAATCTAAATACAAAGCAAAGAGGTGACAGAATTAGTCACATGAAGGACTTACTCAGAAGAGCCCAACATAATTGCTATGAACTCCACAACACTTAGGTAGGTTAGACTTAGAAGAAAAGCTTTGAACCCCAGAAAAAAAAAATCATTCTGCTTCCTCTTAGTTGTGAAAGTCATCTTGGTAGCAGGAACTCAGCAGGGTAGTTTAAAGCAAAAACTACCTTCAATAGGTAGTCAAAAAAAAAGTCAGCAAAAAAAGCCTTCAATAACAACTGGAACTTACCACATTACTGTACTAGTTAAACATTAAGGTCTTCATAGAAAAATAAGATGTAGTTTTCTAAGTGGGTGAAGTCATAGTTTGTTTGAGCATACATCCAAACATGTAGGGTCACCTGGCTGAAAACACTGATTACACCCTAAGACTATTTATACCACTCAAAGTCCAACATACCTACCACCTGAGTAGAGACAGTTTGAAAAAGGACAGTTAAAAGAACCTAAATCTTACAGATATATACTGAGGTATAATAAGATATCTGATACTCTTAATTCTGGCAAAATTGTACCAACTAAGGAACAAAATTACAAGGAAGATCTTTTATGCCAAATTCTACAGGATTGCAGCCTTGGAGAAAGGGTTGCCAAGGTAACCCAAAGTTATCCACACTCCTCCCTGCTGCAGGTTTGCTTGAAGAACCCCATCATCTTTCCAGGAAGTTTCAACCTGCTAAATATGACACCCTCCTAGTGCTGCATCATAAGCTCCAGTGGAGACTAGAGGTTACACAAACTACATCATTCTGTCCCAGCTATGCCTCATGCCTGCATTGCTTCCAGCCTTGACCACTTGTACATGGAAAAGAAAGAACATTTCAAGATGCTCTTTCCTACTGTAAAAAAGTCAGAATTTGGTTTATACTCACATCAGGGAGCCAAATGTCTCCTTAAATGTTTTATATATTCCACAAATTATTAACTAATGAATACAGCCTGTAAAGCTCAGTCTTGGAACACAGTACTTTTTCTTTTTTGCAAAGTAGCTTTCCAAATCACCTCAAATAGCATTGAGCAAAATCAAGTCATAAGACACATACAAATTTCATGCATTTAACCACACCACTTTCCAGCCTGAATACCAGTCTAAGACACAGCTGAACACCTGTGTTAGTCATTTCATTGACACCTATTTTATTCATTCCTCTCTCATCTTCAGCAAAATCAAGGCAAGACTCCAGTGTTCCTAATCACCCACCGTTTACTCTGCTGTCATGTCAAGCCCACAGCTGCATATTTCCCCAGCATCTGTGAATCAACTCCCACTCTGATGACTGATTCACAGACCAGAATAAGACGCACTTACAAGAATTACTCTGTTAACAACTTCAAACCAATCTCCTACACTTAGCTGCTTGCTCCCCCACAACAACATCCCACCAGAGGTTGTGGCCCTGTCAGTTGCATCAGTTGGTTACACTAACATGCCCCAGTCAAGATTCAGAGAAGTATCCAGGCTAAAAAGTTACTCCTGGTTATCTTTTTCTGTTATGCCCATCATTCAGTTGGAAAAAAGAGAATAAATAGAATAATGTTCCTGCTTACAAACACAAAACAACTAGATATTCAGGCATATGTCAAGAATTTTAAAGGCATCTTTGTGTCTCGGTAATTTTTTGCCAAATAATAAAAATAAATATAAACCTGTTAACATGACTGAGGCACAGCTCAGCAGAACACAGATTTCAGCTTCTGTTGCTTCTGTTGATGTCTCATACTGAGGAGTTCCCAAAGCTGGAGAAGTGCCTAGAAGTTATTAAAACAGCTCACATTTTTCTTTTTCTAGTAAGGAAATAAAATTTCTTGGCCAAATTTCATGCCTGGAGTGAACCCTCTACAGAGATTAACCTAGGAGCACTCGAGGACTGAGCTGGTACACAACTGTGCCTGACTTTGCACAGAAGACAGGGAGGTTTGGCACAACTAGAACTTAATGGGAAGGATAATGCAGACTATTTCAAAAGCTGCTCTCCTGCTGACAGGATATGCCATCTCTGTTAAATACATGGCAAATGGGTTCTGGCACACCTAATTCCACCAGCTTTTCAATGATTAACTGTCAGGCAAAACTTTTATAGCCTTCTGTATTTCAGAAGAACTGACATGCCAAAAAAACATAAGACTTGGAGTCACATCTTCTCCCTATACACATTGAAGGAAGCAACCCACAAAACCTGTGAAGAAAACTACATGACTGCATAGCTAAGTGTGCCTTTGAACACATCCTGCTTTTTCAAAACCTTGAGTGAAAGTGCTACAGGCAGCTGTGCTTTAAGCACATAAATGTGGTGAGGAATGATTAGAATTACCCGTTTTCCTTCTCCCCAAACTGTTTCCATATTAGCAGGGATACAGACAGAACGAGTTACAAGAGAAGCAACTCCAGTAACACAGCAGAAAGTGTTCCTGATCATGGGAGTATTTTAACTAATACTTTCATAAGACACACATGCAACACTGAAGCATATTTATAGTTTTCACAAGTTTGAAAGTAGCTCCAGTTTTCTTGGGAAGCAGCATTAATCCACACATACAGATTAAGATACTGTTCCCTTCTAAACACAGTATTTCTTGTTTTCAGATGTAGTGAGGAAATGTTAATCCACTCCCCAAATTCTTAGTGCAAGTATACTTATAGAGTACATACAGAAAAAAAACCAAAACAAAACCACAAAACACCAAAAGGAAGAGCATTTGTGGGAACACTTCTCTCAAAAATTTCTACTAAAAATGCACATAGTAAATAAATGTTAAAAATGTTGGTGGCAATTTACAAAACGCAGAAAACTCAACTCTGCCCTGAAACCTTACATAAAATTTTGTCCTAAGACTCCACTTTAACACACATAATATTGTGATAGTATTTTTGTCCGTACAAATGGAAAACGGAAACAGATGCAACATTTCTGAATTCATAATGTGTATCTCACTGTGAAAAACTGCAGAGCATGGCATTTGCCTTCAAAAGCTTGAGTGATGCTTAGGTAAAAAAAGTTTTAATAGTTTATAACAATTTATCTTTCCATTTTTGGTTAATTCAAAGTCTAGACTTCACAAAGCTTATGATTAAGTCAACCATTTAGAGACATACATTTATTTTCTTATCTTTGTACTTACACTATAAAAATGGTAGAAAATATACATGTAAGTTTTCCAATATGAATGCTGATAAACAGATTATGTCATTTAGCTTTCCCCATACTTCCAGGTTCATAATGAAAAAACCACTCATGTTCGTATTCGAAATAACCCACTGTTGTAACTATCATTGCCCCAAAGTTTTATTCCTTCCATTCAGGTCTTCCAGAAAAAAAGATACAGAAGTCACTCCAGATTAGCATCCAAGTTTTGACAAAAGCCTCTAGCAAAACTCATGATTTCCCTAACAGCTAAGAGGTTGAGATTGCTAACCATGCTAAGGAATGTTAAGTCCTTAATTAACCAGTGGAAGTCACCACTTTGTAGGGAGGCAATTTCTTATCTTTTAGAGAGTGTGACAAAAGGGCAGACACTACATATGAATCTGCATGAATTGTGCCAAAAGATCCCATTGCCAAGCTACAACCACGGAAAGAGCAATAACATGGGAGAAGGATGTAACCCCTCCCAAAATATGTCAGAATATGTCGAAATGTCTTTTGAAAGAACACCCTGCAAGTTCATAATTTCTATTCTTCCACTATACTGAGAAACAGGCAAAGTAGTGACCATAAAATCTGACTAATAATATATCTGAAAATCAATTGAAAAGTTACATTATTTCTAACTCATGAAATCATTTTGAAAAATATATGGCTCAATTAAGAACACCAGCACTACTACCAGGAACTCACATGCATTACAATAGATGAAGGTACCTACAAACCAGCTCTTTACCACTCATTAAAAATGAAAAGCAGCCAGAGCTTCATCGCATTCTTCTAATATTATCTTCTGATGTAGGAAATGCAAACAAAAGAATCCAGCCTTGTGTATACAGAAGTAACAGCAGAGCTTCTAAAGAATAGGGGTTTCTATGGCATCTGATTCTTGCAGGAGAATGCAGATAATTGATTGGGAAAATCTTGTTTCATGAACTTTAACTTAAGAGTCCCTTTCATAAACCAGAGGGGTTGCGGGTGGGGGGAGTCATCAGTTACCCTGCCAGAGTAACCCCAAGAGAGTAAAGCAATCTTAGCTTCATTTAAAACAATGCTATGATTTTTCTTTTTAATTACTTATGACTCTAATAGCTCTGAAACGATCAATATTTCAGAAGTAAGATCGAAACAAACCAGATAGATATTAGAAAACATTACAATGTAATCTAAATAAGTCTTTGCACATTTTATTAGGTAAGAAATTTTTTCAAGTATTTATTTCTTATCATCAAATTTTTTTCTATTTCATATAATGCAGAATAGTAATCTGCCTCATTACAAGCAGTGGCTAGATTTTTCGAATACGTAATTTTTTCCTGAAGCATCAAGTCTTAACTTTTGTCTTCCTTCAAACAAATTAATTTCTATTCCCCAAACAGGCTTCATACTTGTAATCAGATTCACAGTTAAACAACACTGAAGAAAACTGGTTTCTGCTGTTCAATTTTATTTTACAAATAAGCACCACACATCCAGGAAACCCTCCGACTTTCTGCTTCAACAGTAACACCCTACAGAACTCACCTCTCGATTTGGATCACTCTTTGCACATTCTTCATTTAAGAGAGTACATTTTTAATACAACATAAAGCACTTACCCTTCTAACCTGACATCAGGTAAAGATCTGTTGAGTGCAATCATTTCACTTGCCATTAAATTAAATTGATTTATTTTAAACATTTCTTTCATTTTTTCTTGCTCCTCTTTCGGAATGACCACAGGTTTTCCCATCTCTCCAGGTCCTTCATGTGGTTTTTGGATGGGTTCTGGAACTAAGAATAAATAAAACATTGGCTTTTATCCTTGCTTTTGTTTATTTTACACTGTAGGAGTATTCCTGTTTAAAATCAAATTTTAAAACCACTTGATTCTGGAAGTGAAAGCAAACCTTCACGTTTCGGAATTTAACAGAATTAATGAAAGTGCTACTCTGAGACACCACAATTGATTTGTAAAACCAGCAAGGGTTTGTATCTATCTATCATCGTGTCCTAATTGACCTTACTGTTAAAGTGCTGGAAAAACAGACATTTATATCCCAGACTGTTCTTACACACACAAGCTTTTCACGAATAGTTGAATTTTCCTGTACAGGGATTTTCGTAATGACTAAATTAAGAGTGTAACTTTATATTGATTTCCAAAGTTTTATTTTGACAGAATGACATTGGCATTTACAGTTTGGAAAGCATTTCTCTTGGTTTTACTAACATTATTTTGAGTCAACATTACTACATTTTGGAGTTTGACATTAGTACTCAACACAGAAACACCTGACATGTTTATACCAAAGAAAACTTAAATATCAAATATCAGAC